GGTAAGAAAAAGTTAAGTTTAAAAACTATTTCCTCAAAATGGAGCAAGCTACCTCACAGAAGCACTTTTTCAAGTGGTAGAAAAAGTCTTCCTACTGGGAATTCATACAAAAATACTAATGAGCTATAAAGGTACACTGTAATTTAGAGCTTATTAATTTCTTCAGTCAAAAAAGCCCACAGGTATCAGCCATAGTCATCATACTATCCAGGCAGCATTCTATCAATAAACCAAAATCAGCAATTTTCTACTGTCTGTATATTTTTCTTCCCATGTTTCTCACGGATATCAGCTCCTTAAAAAGGTTTCCTTCCCTTAATTTTATGAGAAAACTAACAAGACGATGTCAAACAGAAAGGCAAAAAGACCTATGATAATTCACTGATGCAGTTCAAAGGTGCTACATAAAACACAGGTTTCACCACTGAAGGCTGATCCCTTTTCCAATGCACAACCTGAGACACTTTTTTTTTTTTAAAGAAAAAAAAATTGTTAGTGTCCCCTTCAACATGCTTTGTCTGCATTATATATAAATCTTATTCACTGGACCAACTTTTTGTGCAAAGAGTTTATAAAATTCATATAATCTCAACACTGCTGACATTCATTGGAACTCCTTATTATGAAAATTATCCTCATGTCCCTCATTACCCAAAAATAATCAAGCTTACATGCTACTGAAAATAAAGTATTTAGATGGTAATAATGTCTCTACACATTTGTTCTAATTTAATAAAAGTATTTTTATTACAAAGAAAAATATAACCAGGCAAAAGTACAAAAGTTAAGAAAAATTTATCAGTATTAATTAATGCTTGAAGGTAGAATTATGCTTCTTTCAATTGGACCCATTAAAGAGGCTTTAATATAGATTTGCACAGCAAGCTGAAGATTTTCAAGAGCAGATAATGAGGCAAGCTAGTACTATTTTAACCCCTCTAGAGTACAATCAGTTGATAAGGTTTTGAAACGTTACAAGGTCTAGGACAAAAAGATTAGCTTTAGTTCCTCCAGATCAAAATTGAAAGCTAATTAATTAACAATGTTATAAGAAAAGGTTTACGGCTATTTTTACCTGCCTTTAATGTCATCTTCTAAAGAAAACAGGTTAAGATATTTTAATTTATCTATTGTGTAAATGGCAGAAGACTGTTCCCTCCTCCAGCATTATCTGCTAAACTAATTGCTTGAATTTAAAAATTTCATACATTCTCCCAAAAAACTCACCTTACATTTAAGGATGCAAATAGCACTGGTGATCTATTTAAGATACACACAATTATTATAAATTAAATGCAACATGTTAAAAATGTTTCCAAATAAAAAAGACAATGAAAAGATTTTTTGCAGCAAAGTATCTATCAGTCTTCAGAAGAAGTAAAATCCTAAGAGAGTGTCCTAGCCACTTAAACATAGCAGTTAGAAATTCTTTTCATTGAAACAGAGAAGTGATGCATACATGTCAGGCATATATAACCGCTAAGAATAGAGTTTTGAGATGCTGCATAAAACAAAAATAACAGCAAAAAATCAAAATAGCACTCAAGACACTAAGCTCAAAGGAATAGGATTTTTACCACACAGCATTTACAATAAATATATCCGTATGCCAGATGAGGCCAAGTTGTGACTATCAGGACCAAAAGTTACCACTACACCAATTAAAAAAAAAGAGCAAGAAGGGAAAAGTACAATGGAAAACCCAAATACAATACATTCTGTGCTGAATTTATGTGCAATAATAGACAAGAATAATCTTAAGTGCTTTAACAAATTTATTTTCATCTTTGAATGGTACATCTTGAAATCATCCACACTAATTCATATTTTAAATTTTTAACACAATATGAAGTTACGGAATAAACTCATGAAAAGAAAAAGGTCTTATTCATGTATATAAAACTGAAGATTACAACTCCATAATTTAGGAGCAGTGAAAACCTGAAGTTGTACTAAGTAAACAGAAGTTCAACGCATATACTGTAGTCCAAAGATACTGGACAGCAGAAGACTTGAAAAATTATGATTTATACTTTCATCCGTAAAGCCACAAGTCCCATTTTCATAAGTATCTGAACACTTTTCTTCACTGTTAGGTTATACAAATGTGATCAACGACAATATTACTTCTGAATCATAGCTTCCAAATTTACTATTTCACTTGATTTTCAGTAATGTCCGTTAAAATAGAAACTTCTCTAGTACTTGAAATATCTCTTTATTAATTAAACTTATTTAGCTTTCAGGTTGAGCTAACTACATGGATGTATCTCATCTAGGCTGTGGAGAATATGCTCTCATATTTACAGAAAATTTTTAAGTCCTTTTAGGCATGTCAGTCTAAGCAAGACTAATACAAGACAAGAAATACAATCTCATGTTCTTATACAGTTCTGTTGTTATTTCTAGAAGCAATAGAAGCTTACATCTGTGCCAAATAATGAGACAGTCCATTGATTTTTCTTTTTTCCCTTACTCAGCATTGATTTATACAATCAGCTTTCTGGTGGCCACTCAGAAAATCCTAGACAACAAACCCTACAACAAATTATCTTGTTGCAACTGGTATCTCTGTGCGATGCATGAAGGCAAAGAGAAAAACAACAAAAGAAATGACTGGCTAATCTCAACTTCCTAGATGTAAAAAATTAGTCAAATGAACAGCCTTCAAGTCTTCCTGTCTGTACTTTACAGAAAAGAACATTCATTACCATGACTTTCAAAATGCACATTTTCACACACAACCTATTTGCATGTTAATTACATAAACAGTATCTTTTCTTCCTTAGGTGAATGAAGAAGAAGCATATTCAGTAATACAAAATAAAAAGAACATTACATTGTTTTTTAAGCCAGCTCCATTCTTTAATACCAAATCACTAAAACTTGGCACTCAGGAAGCAATCCCTCTCTTGATTCAGTCCTACAGCATCCTAGCCAATGGATGAGGCAAGAAGGTCAGCATGACATCACCTCTGTACACTGCTTTCATACACAGCACTGGCACCATCTGGTGCCCTTCACAACCTACTCCCCCAAGTCAATGATATGCTAAGGGAAGCTAATTGTAAGGGCCGCATTAGAGCTGTGATGATCATCAAAACAACTTCTGTTCTCCTCATCTGTTAGAATCACTGAGTCACAGAATATCCTGATTTGGAAGCAACCCACAAGGACCATGAAGTCCCACTCCTGGTCTTGTACAGGACAACCTCTAAAATCACACCATGTGCCTGAGAGTATTATCCAAATGCTTGTTGAACTCTGGCAAGCTTAGTGCAATGGCCATTTCCCAGTGGAGCCTTTTCCAGTGCCCAATCACCCTCAGGGTGAAGAAACCTTTCCTAATATCCAACTCAAACCTACACTGACATCTCCAAGCCAATCCCTTGGGACCTGTCACTGGTCACCAGAGGGAAGAGATCAGTGCTGCCCCACCTCTTCCCCTTATAAGGAAGTGTTAAATCCCAATGAGATCTCCCCTTAGTCTCCTCCTCACCAGGCTGAACCAAGTCACCTCAGTCACTCCTGTCTTCCCCTCAAGGCCCTACACCACCGTCATTACTGCAGTACCCAAAAACTGCCCCCAGCACTGGAGGTGAGGCTGCCCCAGCTCAGAGCAGAGCAGGACAATCCCCTCCCTTGCCCAGCTGTGATGCTGTGCCTGATGCACCCCAGGACAGGGCTGGCCCTCCTGGCTGCCAGGGCACTGCTGACCCATGTTCAACTTTCTGTGAACAAGGATCCCTGTATTTTCTGTGGGGCTACTCTCCAGCCTCTCATTCCCAAGTTTTTATGGATATCCAGAGTTTTACCATCCTGTTGACAAACTCTTCTTTCCTGGATGATAGATTTCCACGGTTTTAATTACATTTACCAGTCTCTCTCCATTTCCACATGGATGATGTAAATTCATTACATCATCAATTTCAGATTTCTGATCAATTAGGGTTTCAGCTCCTGAAATTGATCTGAAACAACAGAGAGCAACCTCATGGAGAATGCATGTCCCAGGTTCAGACACTGCCACAGCAGGGAGCCTTCTTAAAAGCACAGTACTGCATACATATTCCTATAAAGGTCTTCACAGGTATTTTGCCTTTCAGGTAAGGATAGGGCAGAAATCATACATTGCTGGCTTCTAAGCATGCTGTGTGTGTATGCACCAAACAGATTACACATCACATCTATGGCCATAGACACCACACTGAAACTTCAGCCACTGCTGTAATACAAAAATAAAGTTTATTCAATAATAAGCAGTATTTTAATTTTATTTACTGTATTATTTTTCAGATATTTACATCTTTCATAGATCTACGTATTATATGCAATGTAATACATTATATTACATCTAATGTATTAAATATTGGATATAATTCTATAGTATATAAAGTATATAATATTATACTTTATAGATTATATATGGGATACAGATAATCTACTATATATACATTACATAGTCTCTATAACAAAAAATTATATAATAAAATACGACATACTTTTTGTACTTCATATCATATATAATGTATGTTTTCTATATATTTGTTTAAATATGAATGGATTAAAAAATAAATAAAAGGAGAAACACCACCAGTTCAGTAGTGTTCCTTGTCAGGCAGAAGGTGCATCAGGTTTATTATTTTGTACTTGTCAGGATGGCAAATCTTACCAAGATGTGCATGGGCATATTACAAACCAGAACACTCTTCTAGACTTAGATCCAAGTTTAGGTTAGACTATAGGGCAAGATGAGGCAATGAACTGACAAGATTTTTCAGAAAAAGTTTAATCTAAAACGACATGAACTTTTCAGGTAACAGATCAACCATTTGAACAACACAGAAGAGTTTGAATAACACTTCATCAGAAATTTGCAATCTCTGAATTACAACTTTTTTCTTAAGAGACAATAGCAAACTATTTTCTCCTTCTGACAAACATAAATGTGTTGTCAATGACAAGTTTTCTTAACTGCTCTATTAAGACATAATACAAACCTGTTCTAAAGATTCTATTTTGCTGTCTTTGGCTTGCAAAACCTCTAAAATGCTTCTGTCCTTGACTTCAGCTTTCTGTTTTTCTCTGGAAACAAACAAAAAAATAGACACTTTATTAGTCATAATTTGTAGTTAATCATTTGAATTTTTCATGTCCTGATAATGAATGTCATTTTAAAGCACAGAAAATTAAATTATCTGAAGCTGACAGGCCCTGCAGAATTAATCAGGGAGCATATGGCAAGTGACAGCAAATTACATCTGTAAACATCTAACACAGCTTTGTTCAAAAAGAAACAGAAATAAGAGGTCTTAATATTTTTAAAGCAGCTGAAATTATCGGTTTCTCACTCTTTCCCAAATGTAGAAAAGTGTATTTGAATACAGAGTGAGCAAAATGCCTTTGCCCCTTCTTTGCAATGTAGAATCACCAAGCTACTTCAGTTTGTGAAGTCCTTATCTCAGTTACATGGCATTTTTATGTCTGAAACAACACTTCCGAACATCATGGATAATTATTTTTCTATATTCCACAGGGAAAGAATGAGTAACTTATACTAGCAGAAGAAAAAGGACTCAGAAGCTTGAGTAAGGGGGATGAGCAGAGCCACAATAAGTGCACATCTATCATCACCTCTGCAATACTTTGGTTTGTTTAACAAAGTACCTCACTTCATTGCTATCTTATTTCTTAACTGAGTTCAAACACTGATGCCCTTGCTGGCCTCCATTTTAGGCAGAAAGAAAACAAATGTCACAACAGTAAGGATATTCATATTCCTTAGCACAAAAGTTCTTATCACATGTATGACTAAAGGGCTGAGAAATATATATTCCCTAAAAATGTCTGAACATCTCAGGCAATTGCAGCACCACAGCTGACAGAAGCAGAAACTCATTCAGATTATCTCTGTTCTCACAATACAGTTGAAACTTTCATCAGGGCTGGTATCAGCCACCTATGGAAGCTCGAGAATCCCACTTTAGCAACTCTTCCTCTACCAAATAAGGAATATTTCAGAGCTGTAAGGGAATGAAACACTAGTACACATGAGTCTGTAAATCTGTCTAAATTGGATGAAAATATCCAGCTGTACACAAAAGGTTTAATCTGCCAAAGTATTCTGTAACAGTGGCCAATAAGGATAGTACATACATGAAGGATTATTTTTCTCCACTATTAAGTATTACTGTGTAGTTTAATGCTATGAGAGATTTTAGAAACTAAACTACACTGACATTAATAGACCATCCAATAACGTGGTGGTTTTTAATAAAGTTCTATGACTGCTAAAATATCTAATCCAATCTTGAGTAAACAACGAACTAAAGAAAAATGGTATGGAATTTGAAGTGAGGGTTTTGGAAATCCATGTCTCATCTAAGTACCTCTCTCCTATTTCAAAAATACAGCAAGGATATGTTGCAGGACTTGAAGAAAACTAAGAAAAAGCTATCTGAAAAGATATGCATTTAAGCTATATTTCGCTTAAGAAAAATAAAAATATATGGGAAGCAGTCTTAGTTGTATTGCATTTTAAAAAAAAATCTTCTTCATAAAGAAAATAACTCAGAACTGTGAAATCAGATGATGAATATTCCAAAAGACATTTCATATCTGAAATGTATTTAACATTTTAACTGAGAGGTAGAAATTTAACAAAAAAATGAATATCAGATACTGACCTTAAAGCATCTGATTACCTCCAATCAGAACCAACAAGCCATTGCATGATAGGTTGCTAGAAAGTCATAAGCAGTAAAATAAATAGTATGGACAGTTTTTCATAGTTTATTGTTGCAGTTTCAGAGACAGACAAGTGACATGAAACTCCATGTCCATGCAGCAACAGCCAGCATTTATTGAAGGGCAGAGCCTTTTATACGGGCTTAAAATTTCTGGCTCACACAGAGTTGACTGGACAAAGGTTTCAACTCCGCCCAGCTCACTGGGCAATGATGTGGGTGCATCCTTGGGCCAAAGGAACTGGCTGGAGTCCCCTCGTTTGAGCCTGAATTCAGCCAATCACTTTCATACTTGGGGACTTGTTTACTTCAACAAGCTAACAAGACAGCTCGTCGAGTAAGTGTCTGTTAAGGCCAAATTGTTTGTGCAGCTACAGACCACCTATAGCTGTCACAGTTTATATCTGAAAACTTACAGGAATGTAACTCAGTCGATGTGATTACAGAAATTCATGCAAATATGAAATTATTTAATGCATTCCAAAAGTTGTGCTATGATGTCTTTTCAAAAACAATAAATAGGTTTCAAAACATGACGGGTTATGAGGCTATGAAACCGATTTACCCTGCCTGTAATATGTATCTAGCTAACAGAAGTCACACACTCACACTCTCAGTCATGTTTTAAAACATGGTAAAAGACTTTCTGGTAAGTATATAAAACTTTGTACTAGAAGATAGTAGAAACCTTAAAGAACAGGAGTTAGTAAGCAAAAATGTAAAAATGGCTGAATAGTTTACGGATATAATACTTAACCCAAAAGTCTGTGAATGTTCCTGAAGGAGACATACTGTTCATGATAGGTACAATGTAAATGAAACAAAAACTGTTACAATTTAGAAATATTAATGCTTCTTCATATTAAATTACTTTGCAGTGGGATCTTAAATGGCTATCAACAATTACCCTTTCTGAAAGACAACAGTTGCAGTAATCAAACCCCAAATATTTGTGGAGGAAGGTTATCACTCTTCCATAAGCATGCTACACTACAATCTACCTGAGGAAGTGATAGACCTATATTAATCTGAACTGTAAGAAATGTAACATTCAAAGTTTCCTCACGTCTTAATTACTGCTAGACACCTTAAGATCAGACACACACTAGCTGATTCAAAATCCTAAGAGCTTTAGAAGACAAAAAGGAAAGTGTCTGCACGTGACTATTCCAAGAACTTTGTAGTAAAGTACTTGGAAGAGTCCAGAGCACACAGAATGAATCACACCATTAGCCACGCACAAGCCCCATGAAGTACTGAACAGCATTGTTTCCAACTCTCAGAAGTATCCTGACCTTAAGTCTACCACTCATGATATGCCATCATCGTCCCATCTCCTCTCTTAGAGTCAGACTTTCAAAAAGTGAGACTCAATCAAGACACAAAAACCGTATAATCAGCTAGCCTCCTAACTGAACTATGCAAACATCACTTGAAAATTATTACTTAAACTTGTTTTCTAATGCATTAAATGATCTGAAAATCTGGAAAGTTAGATACGTATCCCTAAGGAACTTCAGAGTTGTGAGTGGTTAATTTTTAAACTTATTTTAGGGAGAAAACAGAGGAAGCAGATAAGGGAACCAAGAGCCAGGTAAAAGAACAAACAGCTGTGAAAAACAGTATGCACAGCGAATTCTGATTTATTATTGGTAGTTAAGAATCTTTTGAGCCCTCTGACTTTAGGATGTGATTTCAAAACACAGGTTCAAAGAATAAAGTCTGGGACTGGAGAGGAAAAAAAAGAAACAGATCACTGTTAAAGCAAAAAATACACCAGTAACAGAGCTACATACTAGACAACAGTTCACAGCACATTTCTAGTTGAATGCAGCATTTTCCACCTATTTTCCTTCCAATGCTTGGTAAAGCACTCCTTTAAACAAAGATGTCAAAGAACATAGTTTATAAACAGAGATCTATCATCACAATAATGAGTAGGAAAAGTTTAAATAAATTTAATGTATTTTGCCCTTACAATGTTTTCTTTCAAGCTTTTCTGGATACCACATACTTCTAATGCCCCCAAAAATCATTTAACATGTAACCACCCACAGATAAAGAAAATTGCTTTACTTATTAGAAGTTAAGTACAAAATGGAAGTTGTCAAAAGCCTAAAGTATAAGCTGAAACCTCAAATGCAACTTTATTAGCAGTTTCTCCTGATGGCATAGGACATTTTCCTATGCTTCTTACAAGATAGCTCCCCACAGACAATCAAGGTAGTATTTCAGACTGGAACTTATACATCATATTTGGATCTGCTGTCACACTGTAAAATGGGACTTTATAGGAAATGCAGTCATCATCTCTTCTTTTTTAAAAGGGTAACAAATATTCAGAAAAAAACTCTTTGAACAACTTCATTCCTTGAGCTTTTGTATTTAAAATGTATTCGTAAAAGTCCATTGGAATATGGGGGGGAAAACTCAGGCACTGTCAAGAAGCTGATGATGATCAATGACTGAGACAAACTCCTGTTTAGCTAATTAGAATCACTGATGAGCAATAATGATGTGAGCTAAGAATATTTGCAGACTTCTTTAGGATGAAAAATGGAGTGAAGAGAGGCTGTCAATTTGTACAAGTTCTAAGCTCCAATCAGTTTTCCCATGAGTACTACCTATTTTAAATGTTTAACACAGATGCATTTAGCTACAAAGATTATCAGGATTCAGCTTCCCACAAAAATGAAGAAACAGATAAAATATTCTTAAGTTTGACACATTTCGCTATTATAATTTTCTTCCTGTATTAGGCTGTACTCAATTATACAACAAGACAATGCTCTTAATGTTTGCCACCATTTTAATGGCTTGCCAGCAATGAAACATTAGACTTTGAGGAAACAGTTATCCATGAATGAGATATGAAAACAGCAAGAGCCTTAATATTTAAAAAACCAGAAGTCTGTTCAAGTTTCTAAACAATATCCTTCCTAAAATCTTCAGCAAAAGCAGTATGAGAAAAGAGCTATCCTGTACTGTACCACAAGTCTTAATGAAACAAGCACTTAACTGTTTGTGAAGAAAAAGTAACTTGGAGTCGTATACAATTATGTCACATTTACATCAATTAAATGAAAATAAATTTAATTAATAAACTGAATTTGCTGTTTACATGTTTCATGGAATGCATCCTATCAGTTTTACAAATCGCTGAATTAAAAAAAAAAAACAACAAAACAAATAAAAAAAACCAACCAAAAAACCCCACAAACAATAAATCCAACAACAACAACAAAAACCACAAAACCAACCAAACACCAAAACTAAACAAAAACCCCCAAACATCACAAAACCAAAATCGCATCTACAAATTTGGTCTTTTAACAGAAA